TCTGGAATATATCTAAGTGCAGCCCACGCATGCATGGCCCCTTCCGAGTGGCCAAGCACCCAAAACTTTCCGCTAATACTAATGGCATCAGCTAGATGCAACATATCAAATGCTGATGAATTCAGATTCCTGTTGGGATGAGGATCGCTTTCCCCAAAACCAGGAAGATCATATGAGACGAGGCGAACACCAAATTCTTCAAGCAAGGATGTTTTGACTCCCGGTATACCTGCCATAGAAAGAGAAAATTTAATCTCTGTCTCCTGCTAATGTTAAATCTGCATCAATCTTCCCAAGATTTAAGAATGCTAAACTTTTGTGATTCGTGAATTGCAATCCAAATAATTCAGGAGTCTCTAGGTATTATATTTTTTCATTTTTACCTGCAAGTCGAGATGATAGGAAAGAATGTGGGGCAATTATCGAGAATCTAGCTCTATCAGCTGAAACACCAAGCACATCATAGGCCATGTGCCTGCCATCGGGAAGAAGAATGCGAGTAGCACTAGGAGGATGATCACGCACCTTCATTATCGGTCGGCTGAAGCTCTCATGTCTGTTATTTACAAAGATTACTGCAAATAATATTTAATTATTTCATCAGAGCTTTAATCGAATCAAGGTAATACCACGGTTTTACAAATACCACTCATATTTTACCATCAAAATTACGTTCAATAAAGAAGGACATACTTGCCAGGACCACTGAGATTAAAATCAGGAGGACAGATTACAAGATCTCCCTATATGGTATGAAAATAATCAACAGGAGAAATGTTCTAATGAAGGCAATTGACAAAGATAGAGTACTGTAATCTTCTGAATTTGAAATTATTAGAAAGGAAAATGGGAGAGAGAAAAAAAAAGTTAAAAATCTGAAGATACCCGTGAATGCGAGAATGGAAACAAAAAATATCACTGGCCAAGCATAAACAGGGTCGCGATCCTCCGGCAAAAACTCATTTAGAAAGCTCAATCTAGCAGTAACATTTGCGCAAGGTCCTCTAAGCTTTCGGGCAACGTACGAATCCTCTGTAATCAAATTCTGCTGCACAATGTCCCTACAACCTCTCCCCAATTCAAGAAGAATTTCACCCCAAGCGACCGCAAACCCCTTAACCTGATCCTTCAAACTCTCCGATTCCTCCGATTCATAGTTCCGCGACTCGACCTGGAAATCCAATCTCGTATTGTCGAACGAAGGCGAAGAGATCCCGATAGGCTCAGCGACGTACCGTATCCCGGAATCCTCCACCAGACTCGCAAGTTCTTCGCTCCACGAGCTCGATCCTCTGACTTCCGCCATCAGCAACCGAATAAACACTCCTCAACACTTCACATACATTCAGCTCCGGCCAACTTCAACGAAGATGCGGACAGAATTTCAACTGCGTCAGAGTCACACATTTACACGAATATATATATATATATATATATATATATATATATATATATATAGAAAGAGAGTGCGCATTTGCTTTGAGCAGAAAATTCCAGAGTAATAATGTCAAACCATGAAATAACAGAACAAGAACAGATACTTTACAAGCGTGATGATGGAATCTTGATTGTTCGACCACGTAGAAACCCTAGCCGAGCCGACCACCATTCAAAAGGAATCAAACTAACACAGAAAAAACAATAAGCAATAAGAAAATACTTACTCAGAGATAAAGCCAAAAGCAACTCTGCTCCATTCTAGCTTTCACTTTCCAACACTGAAATTGCTGATTCTCTCTCTGTTCAATCTCAATACAGAAGCTTTTTTACTTGTGTGGAAGTTAACCAATAATCCATCTCGTCATTACTGAGTGTTTATTTTGCTTTTTGCCGTCACTTGGTAGACGATGAATAGAAGCCGTCCGTTCGCTCGCCCTTTTGGGTGGCTATGAAAGTGACGTACCTGATCTTTCCACGTCGATAACTGCCGAATACCGGTTCGGCCGGTACGTGGGTAGGTTTTGGAAAAGGCGTGCACCTGCTGTTGACGGTTGCTGTGGACTGAAACATGAAGGAGTGATGTGCGGGAAGACACGTGATGTGCGGGAAGACACGTGACGTGACTACGAATGTGCCTTTCTTTACAACTTGTATTTATTGTTTATTTATTTATTGTATCCTTTTTTTTTTAACAATTTATTTATTGTATCTAATGTATTTTTTTACCGTCTTATTCACTCGAAATTAGGCTTAAATTCACGTGTTATTATTTGATATTTATCCGCTATTTTTTTAAGTATTTTAATATACTAAGCTAAAATTAAAAGTTTTGATTTTAATTTTGATAGACAATTTATTTTAATTAAGTGCTTATAATAACTAGATATTATAAAAAACAATGGTGTACGTATTTTTTAACAACTGGCAATTTCATGCATACATGGTCCTATAAAATGAGTAATTTTAAATTTTATTGCCAAATAGTATATCTATTTCATCCCTTTGAAGTATATAGAATATTTTTATACCACGTCGTTGTTTTATTAATTAATTTTAATATTTTTGGATAATATGGACTTACTTGAAAAAATTTAAAGGGAGACGAAATTTAAATTTTTTAAACCTTAGAATAAAATTGAAAAAACACTCCTTTTTTCTTTCTTCTAGGCTCTTGATCATTTAACCATTTTTTTAAAATACTAGAACCAAAATGAACGTTTCATCATAGTATTTTAAGAAAATTTCTATATATAAAAAATCATTTAATATAAAGTCATAGTTACATTTTGTTTATAAATAGTATCATATTTAAATTAATAAATTAGATTAAAAATAAAAGGAATATGGTTGGTGCAAAAGTATAGTGACAATAAATTGTTTTTTACCATCTTCATTGCATTAAAATGTATGTAGGATCTTATTTATTTGCTGAGATACAAATTATTTTTATATGACGTCTCTTTGATTGCTTTGTTCTATATACAATTTATTTATATTTTCCGTTCATAATATTACCACGCGGATAGTTTAAAATTTCTTTAAAAGGAATATATTACGATTCTATTTTATAAAATTCGTTAGTTTTTTAGATATTAGATTTTTAATCCTATGTTAAGTAGGGGAGTTGAGATTTCTCGAATGAGTATATTATTCAGTTTCATTTTTATAGCTAGGAAATTTCTAATGAAACAATAGGTTAAAAATGATACGGGGTTCATTTCTTTTATTTATTGTATAAGTGGGAGGGAGTATGATACTCCAGTAGTACTAAAATTTTTTTCGAATTTAACATATTAGAAAACAAAAATCGTCTTAACATAATATCTTTGTATATCATAAAAGCTTCTAGATAATTTTGCTTACAACACCACCATCAACGAGAGCAACTCTTCCTTTACTTATTCAAATTGCCTCTGTAAACAGCGATGGAGAACAAAGAAGTAAAATGAGTAATGAAATGACATAATGCATGGATACATAAAAGGTACATTAGTGGATTAGGGAGACGGGGATATTCTCGTGTAATCGATTTCTCTGCTTTCTCCCAATGTATACGTGCTTGAATTTGAACAAGATCATCAAGAATTTCTTTTGTTTTAGAGTAGATAGGATAGTGCTATCGTTTCACAACCATCATTTTTTCTTGGTCAATCTAGCTTCGAGATCTTATAACGGTAGCACCCCTAATTAGTTTCTGCAATACCTTAGCACCTCCAGCAATATAATGAAAGTTTGATAAAAGTTGATAAATCAACGTCAAGCATAAGGGTACATGTCTAGTCTAGTGATCAAAGATCGTAAAGATATGTCAAAGAATAAGATTTTGGTGTCATAAGAAAATAATAGGAAATAACAACACGATTCAATTCCACCTAAAAAGATTTTAAATTTCCCTATAGTCCCGTCCACTTTTATGCTGAACTCTTGTTATATGTTTTATAGTAAAAACAAGTTTAATTTATTTTTTTTAAAAAAAAAAAAGAGTTAAAATGTGTATTGGGGGAAAATTTACCAAATAAGCACAAATCCAAATAAAACCCATTTCGAACTTGGGTCGCACAAAAAAAATCGCCCAGTAACCGTACCGTTTAAGCCGAGAACCACCTGATCAAAAGCCCCATCTCGTTCTTTGTTTACGAAGCCCAGTAACCTTCAGCCCATCTTTTACATAAAAGAAAAAGAAAATATTTTGCCCCCGTAGCAAGGGTGATAAAAACCGATTGAACCAACCGAATCGGACCGGGTTTATTGAGTTCACGGTCAGCCTTTCCCTTCTTCATCTTGCGCCACCCCGGACTCCGTTGACGACCTTCTCCCGCTTTTAACTCTCTCGCCCCATTCCTCTCTCCAGCGCCGTCGCCACCTTCTTCACCGGTCCTCGCCCCGTCGACGACATCCTCCGCCGACTCTCCCTCTCTCACGTGGTCACACCGAACCGTAGAAACCGACCCGATCGGCTCCCTTAAATCGGTTTTCTTCTCTTCTCGCGGTACTCTCTCTCTTTCTCAGTCCTCCTCCGGCGTCTCTGTTCTGTCTCAGACGCACCGGCCCCTGGCCGGAGTTTCTCTCTGCTCTCTGTTCCACAACGAACCTTTTTTTTTTCTGGAAGGTATCGACAAAACCCTCAATCTGTCTTCACAATTCTCTTTCAAAGTAATATTCGTTGGAACTTGATTCAATTTTCACCACTTTTTTTATGTCTTCAATCGCGTGCTTTTGTTTGCTCTGGATACCTTCTTTTGTTTCAAGTTTGATGTGTAAAGTAGTGGTACACTGTTTCAGGAAGGGTTAACCGACAATCGTATTTCAATGGCGGACAACGCCTCTGATCAAAGGAAACGTGCTTTGGAGGCATTGGAGCGAAGGTGCGCTGCTGCGAAAGCGGAGCTTCTTCAACAACAGAAGAAGATTAGTTCTAAAGAGGAATCGAGTACAGGAAAATCTGATTTAACCGATTCTTCTCCAATTGATGTCCCAGGAAATCCATCTGATTCTTCAATTCCTTTGCCCTCTAAAGAAAAACCCCTAAATAAAGGTTCCTTCATTATACCTCTATTGATATACTTTCGGTTGGTGGCGAAGTCATTATTTTTTTAGTTGATTCTCATGGTTAGTTGATTTTTTCATATGCAGATGTAGAAGAAAGTGATCCAATATATTTCACCCTTTCAGCTGCTGTTAATGAAAATTTGCTGGCTACAAATATGGATGTAAGTTGTCCTCTCTGAAAACCTAATAAATAATCATCATATATGGAGCTGGCACTGATGATGGATAGGCCTCTGAAAAATAGTGCTTTGGATCAGAAATCTATATGTTCTTCTTGGTTAATTTGAACCTCACCTTTTGCAGGTTTCAAATAACAGAGGAGTGGTTAACAAGATTTGTCACGAACTAAGAACTGGGGGTTACGTTAAACGATCAAGAGAACTGAAAGTCGATGCATGGATTCTTCTTGATAACTTTGCTCCAAAACGTGCTGGAATGATTGGCTCTCGAATAAGGGCTTTACGGAGCAATTCAAAGCGATCCAAAAGGCATTTGTCTATGAAGCAACATAAAAAGTGTGGAACATTTGATTTGCCATCTGATTTCCATAAGTGAGTTCCATTTATCTGATTGGTGAAGACTAAAGAGAGCCCTCGTCCACCAGCGCCCCACATTTTTTCCCATATAGGATTGAATAGAAAAATGGTGATGAAATTGTCTGTTTCTCCTGAAATTATAATTAGAATTTAGTTGTTTATCCTTAGCCATAAGAAAAGGAAATCGAAAGGTTATTAATCAAAGACATGTTCATTGCACTTTATAGAGTTCTATGATTGTTCTTGGTAAACATCCATTAGAATGAGTTTTCTTTGGCAATGTCACTGTCATTGGTGTTTGAGAATGAATTTATTGTGTATTTTTGTTTCAGGATTGAGATCTTTTTGCCCATGCACGATATGTGGAAAAGCTACATGAAACAACGGCTGCACCATGTTGGGTTAGATTTTTACCAAGTTGTTCATATTCTGTAATTTATTTCTCAGATTTCATTTTTGTTAGCTTTTCACGCATATTTTGGCCCCTTTTTTGTCAAGTAAATGCTTTTGTACTTATTCGTCATATGTTGCCTGTTTGGTTGTGTGATCGAAGTCCGAATCTTGCAGGGAGGATGCGTTGGCTCGAAATCTTCTCATTGCAGATCTTCATGGTTCCATTATCCTAGGTAAAACCATTCTTGTCTTATATCAGTTCTTTACATTAGTATCATATTCATCTAGATTTTTCTTAGATAAATTAGCTTTCATTAATATGAATGAAACACAAAAAGAAAGCTGCAACAAGGCCCAACCAGCACAGAGGCTACTGAAAGATGCAAAAAAAATTTGTTGACGAATAGCACCATGAAAATTATAATATGGGTGTCAAAACTATAACATTATAGACCTGGGGTTGAAGGATTTCCCCTCCAGTTCATATTTGTGTATATTCCACATCCATTCTCTATTCACGTTAAGTTTTTACATACCAATCCGAACATAGTTAGGTTGATAAAGCACATATATCCAAGTGGCATGGTTGATTTGTGAGAATGGCTTTTACAATGACCCATACACATCCTTAGAGTTGTGGCAGTTGTCTTTTAAGGTAATCAACATTGTAATCTTAGTTTTAAATTGTATTAAAACAAGATTATAAGGTTTTATACTCTCTCATATTAGCTACTGAATTTTATCAATTAATATTGCTGTAGTTGTAGAGTGTAAAATACCTGCTTTTACTGGAATAAGCGGCATAATGATTCGAGAAACTGCAGAAASATTTGGGATCGTGACGAAAGATGATAAGTTTCGAGGTAACTCTTTCATTTGAGCCCTCATGCTTTTGAATTTGCTGCAATCAAACTCGAGTTGTTTATGAATTTGGCTTGGTCTTTCCCAGTAAATGACCATGGATTTCTTTGTTTGCTGGTTTTGATTTGCAGTTGTGCCAAAGAAGTCTTCTGTGTTTCTTTTCCTATGGGATTGTTGGAAAATTACATTGCTTGGAAATAATCTCAGTTCAAGAATTCTGGGTTTGCCATCTTGATGTTGCGAATTATTTACACTGCAAACAGGCTTTACAATAATGTATAATATTGTAGAGTTATGCCATTGAAAGGCAATTTTTTATGCTTAGATTGTTGAAATTGTAATTTGATTTCGGGGAAACCCTCGGGTGGTAGAATAGGTAAACGAGTAAATTAAAAAAAAAATTATAATGTTGTGTTTATTAATAATTTTCTTCCGTTAACAAATCGAAAATAGAAAATTAAAGGCAAAATTGAGGATAACAAGTTTAAGATACACCTCAGCCTCTTAAATGTATTTATTTTTTCAATTTCTCAAAATGTATTATTTTTTTTCTATACAACATTTGGGATTGAGGTTCGAACTCATGACCTCTTGATTGGAGATAGGTGTCTTAACCACATGAGTTATGCTCGATTTGGTTCAAAATGTATTACTTAATTCATAAAGTTCAAATACGTGCATTTCTCATTTTGTGATTTCACAAAAGTCTAGAACAATTCTTTTTAGAATATGTTATTTTAAAATGCGAGGTAAAGATCAATACTTTCAGCTTATAGAATAAAATTAAAATTACAAATTTGGTCAAATAATCTCTTCCACATTCTTTAAAATTCTAAATATATTGAATTTCACACTAATATTTTAATTTTACTTCTTATAAATGTTTAAATATTAAAAAATATAAAATAAATTTAGAGACATCTTAGACACAGTTGAAATTTCAATGACATTAAACATTTTTTAAAATTTAAAACACTATTAAATCTAACATTAAAAGTTTAAAAGTATGCTAAAATATAAAGGTTTATACTTTTTTTTTAGTACAAATGGATCAAATTTCAACCTTTTGGTTGGAAACACTTTGACTATAAAAGTTTATATTTATGAATTTATAATTTGTCCTCTAACAAATATTAAATTCATAATTTAACTTAAGACTATGTTATTTAGCAATGCAACACTTATTATAGTTTAATATGTTTAAAGTTTATTTGMTGAAACCAAAAATGATGAAGGTACTTGTCTCCCACCAAAAAATCTTAGTAACAACATTTTTTTTAATTAAATTAAATCTTAAAGAGTTTTAAAAAAATAGGGATAAATTTGATAAGGTCCATATTGAAAAAAAGAAACGTAAAATGTGATCGCTAAAAATCTCCCTATAATAAAAGACCTGGTTAATTTGAACTTGGTTCAATAATGGAAATATGTATATCTCTAACTAACCAAAAGATGGTTAGTTCAACTCCACGGCCTTCGTGAAAAATATATATATATTTTAAAATTTTTAAAACGTGAAAACAAAAGTTAGGGATAAAAATGATAAATCTGCGATGATGGAGGGACGCGTGGCAGTGTGAGGAGAGCAGGTGGCGAATACGACGCGCTAGAAAATAGAAATTAGGAACTGCATATTTAAAAGTAGAAGGCGATGGAAAATTCTCGCGGCGGCAGAGTCGGAAGTCCAAAGGGCAAATGCAAGGCGATCGAATCCCAAAGAGAATGGGCTCAGCCACCTTCCTCGAAGTTCTTCTCGCCGTCTTCATCCCTCCCCTCGGCGTCTTCCTCCGCTACGGCATTGGGGTACTATCTCCGATTCCACTTCGATTCAATCTTCTATTACCAACATTCAATCTCTCAGCTTCTGTTTAATTCTTTTGCAGATTGAGTTTTGGATTGCTTTGTTGCTCACATTTTTGGGCTATCTTCCTGGAATTGTATACGCCGTTTATGTACTGGTTGGAATGCGATGACCTAATTCTTCCATCTAATTTTCTTTTTCTTGCTGCTTTTAGTTTTAGGAAATCTGTTCAATTAATCGATCTTCTCGAGCCTGCAAACCCTAACTGCTGCCATGGCGTCCCTTTTTAGGGGTCTTAGATTAGACTCTTAGGCCGTTTGGAAGTTGTGAGATAGGCCATATTTTTTTATCTTTTTCAATTTTTATTTATTTATTTAGTTTCGAGTGTAAAAAGATTGAAATGAATATGATTGAGATTGAGATTGAGATTTTTTATGTTTGAATGTTTACTTGTGGTTAGGATAAAAGCAATTTGATTCTGATATTCTGCTGCAATTTTTTACCTTTTTTTTTTGGTTTAGATTTTTGCTTTAAAATAGGATTTGATTACGTTTTGATGTTTGAAATCAGCCTGTTTGTATGTTTTTCCTNATTTTAAAAACAAAACAAGTTTCATTTAAAAAAAAAAAAATTTGCTAAGAATAGTGTGGAAATTAAACAAACAAGAATAAGTGATATGGAAACGGCGAATATTTGTTTTGTGAGCATAGTGAATTATGTTGGGGGATTGAATTTGATATAGTTTGATATTTTCAAGCATTGGCAACTTCAAAGATCCTTTCAAATTTGATTGTGACCGCCTATACTTTATATTAAAATTTAATATATATTATAAGGTCACTCATGTGATTAGTTTGGGTTAGTTGAGAGTTAGGTAAACTAACTTTAACGTTCACATTTTCATCATATGAAAAATTGTATTTAGTTATATTATTTTAGAATGTTTATTTTATTTGTGTGGATTAAAAGTTATTTTGAGAAGCACGAACTTAGTTAAGTAGAATAGGGCGGGTGCTCGACACATCCTTCATGTCGACCTTGTTAGAATTAGTAGGGTGGACTTGTAAATTTTTCGTAATTGTTGATGTAGTTGTAATAAGTTTTGATTAATATAGTTTATTGTCAAATGTCTATCGATGTCAACATCGATAAGGAGAAGTATTGTTCTTTCTTTTTTTTTTCATAATTAATTATTATCAAATATTAGTTTTGTTGTAAAAAAAAATTATGTATATATGTGTAGAGTAAATGCTATACGATGAAAGTGTATTGTACATGGTAGCTTTATTGAGAATTAAACCTGCTCTATTTTAGATATATACATTGAGCAGGAAATAGTATAAATTTCTACCCAATGATATTTTATTGGCTAGAAAATGTAATAAAAATATACCAATAAGAATACGGCTAATAGAAGCTTCCACGTATATTTTTCTCAATTATATTGTGGTGCTAGGAATTCCCTCTCAAGTGGCCACCTCGGTGAACCAAGTTTTTATTATATGAATAATTTGTTTTTGTCTTTTATCCAAATATTGTTCTTTGTTTGGATTCTTTCATCATCGTGCTTCGGAAGGAAACTTGACCTTATACTAAAAAAGAAACAAACAAACATAGAGAGTGAGAGAAAAAATATAGGTTTAAATATTTGGTTTATTTTGATCTCTATATTGGAGATAGAAGAATTTGAACTGTCAAAGACATGTGTTAATTATCGTTGGAAAATTAATAGTCGTGAATAATTTTCCCTCCCAGAAATATCAAACACATACCACAATATGCAAACGAGAAGAAACTGTAAACACAAGAAAATTATGCTGGTTAACCACTAAAGACTACGTCCAGTCTTTTATTAGATACATGAATGAAAAACTCTCACCGAATAATGGAGGACAAATTACCCAATCTACCCTTTCTATATTGTCAACATCTAAATTGCCGTGAACCTGCTGCAAAGAATCCAAAATCAGTTGTGCACTCTATGTTTCATCATTAAACACAATACACATGAAGTGAGACATATATATATATATTTTGGAGCAGAAACCTAAATAAAAAAAATTTGAACTTTTGATGATAATTAAAATGAACAAAATTAAAAGTAAGATTTAAAATGGTTTGAAAAGGAGTGGGAAAGTGGAGGAGTGGGCCAATAGAGGGTTAGTTTGAACTTTTACTTGAGGGGTGTTGACTGAAGTGGTGAGGGGACAAACATTAATCGACACCCACCACAAATGGCATTTAATCTTTGGAAAAAAGAAATATGGGAATGGCCGCCATGTTGCGGTGGTTTTCACTTGTACGGCCATCAGGTCCACCGTGTCTCTCCACTGTTCCCCAACCGGAACCGTCGCCCCCCATGTGACCATCTTAATGCCCACGTGCTATACTCTATACATCCAACCTAATTACCTCGGGGAAAAAAAAAATTACTGATCATTTTTTATTTTCATTTCGAACCCTCGTCGGAATTTGAACCTCTCACATGTTGGTTCATAATATGTTTGTTGGGAAATTAAGTGCTTCCGATCATTTTTCCAGTAATCTCTAGTTATCTAAGTCAATCACACAACACAAAAAAAAAATATATATAGGGAAAGTAATGAACGACACGAGATTTATACTGGTTTACAACAATTCATTGACTAATATATCGCCCATATATTTATCATGTAAAGATCTCAACAAAAGTCATCTAGCTTGTGTTAACATACTATACTTCAGTACATGAGTGAAAAACTCACAATAGAATCAATATTTAATCATCTTAAATATGTCAATCTTGATCTGCCACAATGTCTCTGCCTTGAAACCGCCACAAACTTCTCCAAAAAAAAGGCTCAAAATCGGCTTTATTTTTGGCTCAGAAACCCTAAAACCCGAAATTGCATATTTATAAAGTCGATATAGCGCCATAGCATTACGGATGGAAAAAGTTTGTGCGCGTCCCATTGGAACAACACTACGGCACCGTCCCCTAGCTGCATGGTGCTACCTCGGTTATTCTGGCCTGTAACTTTGTTTCACTTGTTCTTCATTCCTTCTTCGTCCCAACGTGTTCCCACTCGATCCCGATTCGTCCCTAGTTCATTCCGACATCGGTTTGGCTTCATCAATTCCAACAATATATACTTAACTAATTGAGATATATTTACGTTGTAAAAAAGAAAAATTTTCGATGATAAATTATTATAAATTGTGGAATAAATTATATTACAATATTCAAAATTTCAACACATACCACTCGCGGGTGGTGGTGTAGTTGACGGGTGGATCAGGTTATTTTTAAAAAAATCAACACGAAAATTAAGGGGAAAAAAAGAAATTTTAATGTCTAAATCTAACAAAGTTTTACTTTCTATCTCTTCCTCACATCTCATCTTATCCTCTCTCGTTGTCGTTATTATTATTATTATTATTATTATTTTCTATCAGCCTATTGCCCCTTTCTAGAATTTAATGAGTTTGATCCTTTTGATTATTTATTTGTGAATTAAAAAAAATTGTTTTAATATATGGTTGCTTGACTTAGAATCAAGTTCAATGTTGGAAGCAATAATGAATCCAAAGCACAGCCTTTTATTATGCTTCAATTATAGTTTCACCCTCCCAGGGATGTTACATTTTTGTCGCAGTGGAACACTCAATACTTCATTCCTATTGTCAAAATAATAATAATAATAATAATTGAAAAAGAGAGAGAAATATATGGAAAAAAAATCCCTTGATTATCATTAATATTATTTTAGAAAATATAATTTTTATCTATTTTTGGTTTGTTAAAGCATGTACTTTTTGTTTTATCTACTTCTAACTTAAAAAAATTGTAAGTTAAAATTCTCATTTCATATAAAAAAATCAATTAAAATGTGATTCGAACCCTAACCAAAGAAAAAAAGAAAACACAAACTTTCAACTTTTTGTAAATGTTTTTAGTTTTTATATTATTAAAGTTGTCTATAAAAATATTAGTTATATTGGTTAAAATTTATATATACATACAGTATTTATGTCCCTTCATCGGATTTATTAACATGGACTAAATAAAATTATAATTTAAAGTTTAGTCATAACTCAATTACTCAATAAACATTATACTCAAAACATACTAGCTAGTTTTATAATTTATCCTGCAATTGATAATTATTTTGTTACTTTTGATCTATCCGTTTTTTTTTGTGTTGTTATCTACTTTTTAATCTATTTTCAATATAAAAACTAGATCGTCAAAATAAATAAAAAAGTTTT